ACAGAAAGAGCACAGGTGGGTGGCTTTGATGAGCAGAAATGTTTATTTTCTCATAGTTTAGGAGGGTAGAAGTCTGAATTCAGGGAGCTAGCTTTAGGGGAAGGCTCTCTCTGTCCACTCTGCAGGAAAATTCTTAACTTTGGTAACATTCTTCTTGGCATTCCTTGGAGATCTCCACATGGCATCCATCTTCTCTCATTTTGCTTGCTTGCTTCTGTGCCTTCTCTGCTGTTTTTATATCTCCAAAGTGATTGGCTACCAGCAATTCCATTCCTAGGTTGTTATGGATTGAATTGTGTCACCCAAAAATGTGTATCAACTTGGCTGGGACATAATCTCAGTATTGTGTGGTTGCCCACTATTTTGTGATCTGATGTGATCATCTATGTGTTGTATATTCTAGTGGCACAGTGGGTTAAGCGTTAAGCTGCTAATCAAAAGGTTGGCAGTTCGAATCCACCAGCTGCTCCTTGGAAACCCTGTGAGACAGTTCCACTCTGTCCAATAGGGTTACTATGAGCTGGAATTGATTCAACCGCAACGGGTTTTTGTAAATCCTAACCTCTCTGATGTTAATGAGGCAAGATTAGAGGCACTTATGTTAACGAGGCAGGACTCAATCTACAGGATTAGGTTGTATCTTGAGTCAATCTCTTTTGAGATATAAAAGAGATAATGAAGCAGAGAGGAGAGAGACCTCATTACCACCAAGCAAGAAAAACTACGAGTGGAGTGTGTTCTTTGGACTCAGGGTCCCTGCACCGAGACGCTCCTAGACCCGGGGGAATATTGATGACAAGGACCTTCCCCTAGAGCCAACAGAGAGAGAAAACCTTCCCCTGGAGCTGGCACCCTGAATTCGGACTTCTAGCCTCCTAAACTGTGAGAGAATAAACTTCTGTTTGATAAAGCCATTCACTTGTAGTATTTCTGTTATAGCAGCACTAGATAACAAAGACATAGGTATATACCCTAGGGATCTAATAGAAGTGACACTTACAGACATATGCACAACCATGTTCATCGCAGCACAATTCACAATAGCAAAAAGATAGAAACAACTTAAGCATCCATCAACAGATGAGTGGAAAAGTAAAATGTGGTATACATACAATTGAATTCCACTCAGTGATAAAGAGAAATGAGTTCCCAAAACATATTGACACGTGGATGAACCTGGAGGACATTATGTTGAGCAAAATAGGTCAATCACAAAAAAAACAAATACTGTATGTTCCAGGGGAAGATTACCCAATAAGTAAGGTAAGCACAGTTTACAGGTGCTTACTTACTAATCTACAGTGATCAATTTCACATGAGTTTCACCACATCTTTGGTCACTACAGATTAGTAAGTAAGTACGAGTAAGCCCGTGCTTACCTTGTTTAGTGGGTAATCTGTCCCTGTCAGGGATTGTAAATGTGAAAAGAGGCTTTGATTCTGTTGGGAGGTGCTGTGGGGTTGGAAGAGAGAGCAACATCTTTGATGTGAAAAAATGTGAAGTTGTTCACTACAGATGATCTGGTAAGCAAGGTAAGCACCATGCTTAACTAGCCAACTGGATAATCTGCCCCTGGTATGTTCTCAGTATTATGAAATGATATGAACAAGTAAATATAGAGAAACTAGTGTTCTTTAGTGGTTACTAGGGATTGGGGGTAGGGGAAGGAGGATTCACTCTCCAGATAGTAGACACTTGTTATTTTTGGTGATGGGAAAGGTGACACCAAATGAGAGTGAAGTATACACAGCTCGATGAAGGTCAGTCATGTCACTAAAAAGTACACACACACAAAAGGACCTATTGGTAATTGTTACGGCAGATATAATTTTGAAACAACAGCAAAAACAACCAAAAAAATACATTAGGGTATATATGTACATAGCATATATGTGTATAGGTGTTGTTGGAATCGTGTGGCAACAGTGTCAGAGACTTCCTCATCTAACTTCACAAGGCAGGAGGGGGTGGGGGAGGAGAATCAAGATAAACAGCCTGAGGCTTATGCCTATGAGACAAAGGTCAGACATACCTTCTCTCTCCAACCTGTTTACCAATTCTGACATCAGCTGTCCCTCCCACAGCACTCTCTACTTCTCTGCTGGGTTCAATAATTCATTGCAATGGCCGCTCAGAACTCACAGACCATACTCACAGTTATGGGCTTTATTAGGGAAGTAACAGGTTACAATTCAGGATACAGTTCTTCAATCAGGACAACCTCTTCTCAGCCATGCCTGCATGCAGGCCTCTCTTTGGCCCTTGGCTCTCAGCCCCTCTGGCCAGCCTCTGCCCTGCTTTGGCAAGTGCTACAAAGCTCTTTACTTCCACCAATAAGTGCCCAGAGGCACCCTGCTCTGCCAGTAAGCCTCAGCCGAAGGTATGCAACTCTCTAGTTCTGTGGGTCAGCAAGACTAGCTCCGCCAACAGGTGCCTGGAGGTACCTCACTCCACCAGGAAGCTTCCTGCCCAAAGGCACTCAGCTCTCTCACTCTGTGGGTCAGCACAGCCACTGTAACCACCTTGCTTCATGGGATGGGAAGCCCACTGCACTGCCTTGCATTGGTCTCTTGGTTCTGCTGCTGCCATTTCTCTGCTGCTGCTTCTCAGCACCATCTTACTCCGTCTCCTGTGTCACAGCTCTGTGTCTCTGTCTCCTGGGCCTAGAAGGTTCTCAGTGCAGGGACCCCAAGTCCAAAGGACGTGCTCCATTCCAATCTCTCATTCTTGTTGGTAATGAGGTCCCCCCTTTCCACCTCTGGGATAGCTCATATTAAGCTTAGTAGGATAGCAAAACTGACCAGTCCACTCGATAGAGTTCCACACCTTATTTGCATGGTCCCACCCCCACAAGAGTGCCATGCACCTTATTTGCATTATTATCAAGCTGTCCAATCCCCTTGGTGGACCACAAGCACCTTATTTACATAATCACACCCAATCATTTGGCTGGAGTTATAAGACCATGGTGAGAAAGGCCATATAAAAGTGATTCACTGTACCTCAGGCCACCCCCTGGCTTTTCTAGCCATGGTTCTTTCATATTTGGAGTATAACTTCTCCCTCTCAATCATTCTACTAGTCCAAAACAGTCATTAACAATTAGTCCTTCAGCAGGGCAGAGCGTCCTCAGGGTGAGGTTACTCAGGTACCAGCTATTCAGGTCTGCTGCAGATATTCATCTGATCTGGTCAGGTCCTCCAAAAGTCATCTCAGTTCTACCCTTTCTGGTGTCTGATAAAATTTAACTGAGAGAAGATTATTTCCTTACTCTGCGCCTCATAAGGTATCAGCATAGCAACACATTTAAAGGACTTTAGGTTCGGCCGCTGTACTCCAGTCCAGCAGTGCCTCCTCCTTAGTCCACTCTCTCGTAGTTACTTCTTCTGCAGAGACAGTTTTTACAATCACAATTAACCCTATTAACAATAAACACTCATAGCTGAATCATATAATCCGATCAGCATCTTTTCCCACCTTCTTCTCCTCAGAACTATCAGTAAAAAAGGAATCTATTCAATGGGATTTCTCCCTTGTCCCCCTTATTTTTAGTCTAAGCACACCACAAAAGCATGTAAGCCAGCCACTTCATGCCTTTATCTTCCCCCATTTTAGACAGTCAATGTATAAATTGCCCATCTCTAACAAACCAGTACTCTGAAGAGACAGGTATATTCCTTAATCTGAAGAATCTTCTGTTCTGGTTAGAATTTGATCATCTTGGAACAGAGCACTGCTGTTTCCGACTCTGCTCGAAATTTGAGGGGCAACAGATTTGGTTGCTATGCAATGCATATGCTGCCTTTGTTTTCTAAGAGCGAGAGTAGGTTTATAAGAGAGTTTGACCCGTAATTTTTCCCGTTCTGGTTATCATTCTGGTTCACCCAAATTTTAAAAATTCGAGTCTGTTCCAGTTTTGATTCCTCCATCATGACTGAACCAGGAAGAAGACCTCATTTACAAAGCAATGAAAAAAATGGAAAATTCCTAGAAATCAACTTCACAAGAAAGATACAAAATCTCTGTGAAGAAAATGTTTACAACACTACAGAAGGAGACAGAAAAAGCTTTGAACCAATAGAAGTATGAGCTATGTTCTTGGCTAGGAAGACTCTGCATCAGGATATCCGTTCATCAGGATGTTTAATGAGATCCCAGGCCAGTGAGTGGAGGAGAGTGGTGGAAGGCCTAGGTGGGGAAATAAAGAAGCTCATGAAGCCTTCCTTTCTTAATCTCAGGTGGCCAGTTCAAAGCAGGCCTGGGCAAGGGATGGGACGATGGATGATTTAACTTTAAATGAATTTGGAAGTTTGGACTCTCATTAGAGTGAACCAAATGAAATTGACAATATTCAACCACTTACGACCACAGAAATGTCAACTCCATATGGTTCAGCTTTACGCATGGAAGTGGATTTTTTAAATTATGGAATGGAGACTGTTTGGGGTTAGAGTGACAGAGAGAATTTTATCACCTAAGAGTGACTAAAATAGCCAGGGTGCTTGCCTAAGACTTCATTCAAGGATGTGGGGAAGAACTGGCTCACAGAGACAGTTTGAATATGTAAAGGGGCAAAGAAAGAGTAAACTGCTTACACCCATGGGTCCATCTCTTTAACACATTGGCTACACTTATCTTATTCTATGTACTTATCACATGTTGATCCAAAAAATCTCTGACAGAAATAGAAATCTTCTCTACTGCCATTGAGTCGATTCTGACTCATAGCAACCCTGTCAGATGGAATTGAACTGCTCCATAGGGTTTCCAATGCTGTAAATCTTTATGGAAGCAGACTGGCACATCTTTCTCCCACGGAGTAGCTCGTGGGTTTGAACCACTGACCTTTCAGTTAGCATCCGAGTGCTTTAACCACTGCACCACTAGGACACACATCAGGTAACCTATAACTTCTCCTCCCCACCCCCACCCATCCCCCTGGCAACGTACCCCTGTAGCTCTGTGTTCTACTCTCACTAGAGTTGATTCCTCTCTACACCTGCTGGGCAGCAGTGGCATTGGCACTTCCCTTTGCCTCTTTCCCGGGCTGGATCTCTTGTTTCTTGGATTCCATGAGTTTTTCTCTGATGGTTTTCTCCCTCGTGTGCCACTCACTTCCTGAGAAAGGGGCATAAAAGAGAAAAAAATATTTTATAAAAATTTTATTGAGTTTTTGGTTTAAGTTTACATAGCAAATTAGGTTCCCATTTAACAATTTCTATACATGCTGTTCAGTGACATTGGTTACATTTTCCACATTGTGTCAACTTTCTCCGTATTTCCATTCTGGTTGTTCTTCATCCATTAATCCAGCTTCTCTGAACCTTCCTCCCTTCCCTGATTTTCTCATCTATGCTTTAGGGTAAAATGTATAGATGATTTTTATTTTTTTTTTTAAGGAACACAGGACTCATGAGTTATATTATTTTATGGGCCTATCTGTTATTTAGCTGAAAGGTGACCTCCGGGAGTAGTTTCAGTTCAAAGTTTAAAGGGTATCTCAGGGGGTTCCTCTAGTCTCTATCAGTCCCATAAGTCTGGCCTTTTAATTCAATTTTATTTTTTAAATAAGAATTAGAGTTTTGTTCTACAATTTTCTCTCATTCTATCCGGGACCATCTATTGTGTCCTTGGTCAGAAAGGTAGGTAGTGGTACTCAGGTACCATCTACATCTTCTGGTCTCTGGATAGATGAGGCAGAGTTTTGTGAAGGCAATTAGTCCTGTAGACTAGATTCTTCTTTGAGTATTCAGTTTCTTTCTTTCTCTTTTGCTCCAGATGGGTAGAGACCAATAGTTGTATCTTAGGTGGCCACTCCCAAGCTTTTAAGGCCCCAGACACTATTCACCAAACTAGGATCTAGAACATCAACTTTATAGACTATGTTGTGCCAATTGACCCAGTTGCCCCACGAGACTATGGTCCTAAGACTTCAAACCCAGTAAACCAGTCCTGCAAGGCGTTTGGTTATGTCTGGGAGGTAGCCGTGACTCTGTCTCCTCTGTGCTTTATTGTATGTATGAATATATGTGCAGCACACAAAAACATGTATGTATTATGCCTTTTTAAAAAATTATTCTGACCCATAGTGACCCTGTATAAGACAGAATAGAACTGCCCCATAGGGTTTCCAAGAAGTGGCTGGTGGATTCGAACTGCCGACCTTTTGGTTAACAGCCAAGCTCTTAACCACTGCACCACCAGGGCTCCATCTATGCCTACAGATACACCTATACATGCATACATATATACACATATACAATTTGCTATGCACATGTACGCATATATATCTACCTATGTAACCAATCCCGTATTTTTGCGTTGTTACTGCTGTTGTTGTCAAATTGCATATGTTATAGCATTTACCCATAAGATCCCTTAATCTTGTGTATTTCTTATTGCCATCATTTATCTTGGTTAAGTTGTGCACATTTCACCCACATTTGGTATTGACTTTCCAATCACCAAAAATACCAAGTATCTACTGTCTAGAGAGATTCTCTCTTCCTCCTCCTCCCATCCCTGGTAACCACCAAAGAATGTTGATTTTTTATATGTATACCCATTTTTGTCTTTTTATAAGAGTGGTATCATACAATATTTGTCCTGTTGTGATTGATTTATTTCACTCAGCCTAATGTCCTCCAGATTCACCCATGTTGTAAAATATTTCATGGACTCAACATTATTCTTTATTGTTGTGTAGTATTCCATTTGTATATACATATATGTATATGCTGCATGGAGCCCTGGTGGCACAGTGGTTAAGAGCTCAGCCACTAACCAAAAGGTCAGCAGTTCAAATCCACCAGCAGCTCTTTGGAAACCCTATGGGGCAGTTCTACTCTGTCCTATAGGCTCGCAATGAATCAGAATCAACTTGACAGCAATGGGTTTTTTTTTGTTTTTTGTTTTTGTTTTTTTGTGCTACATATATGTCCATACGTATAATAGAGGACATAGAGGGCATAGTTATGGAAAGTTCTAGGATGTATCCAAACAGCTCGTGAGACTGAGTTACTGGGCTTGAAGGCTAAGGATCATAGTCTGAAGGGACATCTAGGTCAATTGGCGTAACATAGTTCATAAAGACAATGTTCTACATCCTAGTTTGGTGAGCAGTGTCTGGGGTCTTAAAGGCTTGTGAGCAGCCCTCTAAGATACAACTATTGGTCTCTTCCCGCCTAGAGCAAAGGAGAATGAAGGAAACCAAAGATTCAAGGAAGCAATTAGTCTACAGGACTAATGTCCCACATGAATCACAGCCTCCCCTAGCACAAGACCAGAAGAACCAAATGGTGCCCAGCTACTGCTACTGATCACTCTGACTCAGGGACATAATAGAAGGTCCTGGTTAGCTAGGAGAAAAATGTAGAACAAAACTCAAATTCGTGAAAACGACCAGACTTACTGGACTGATAGAGACTTGAGGTACCCCCGAGACTATCGCACTAAGACAGATAACCTTTTAACCTGGAACTGAAGCCACTCTCAGAAGTCACTTTTCAAACAAATAATACATCAGCCTATAAAATAAAAAATAACACCTGTGAGGAATGTGCTCCTTAGAACAATCAACTATATGAGACCAAACAGGCAACATTTGCCCAAGAGCAAAGATGAGAAGGCAAGCAGAGGCAGGGAAACTGGAGGGATGGAAACAGGGAAGGCAGGATGGAAACAGGGAGAGTGCTAAAACATTGCAGAGATAGCAACCAATGTCACAGAATCATTTGTGTATGAATTGTTGAATGGGAAACTAACTTGCTGTGTGAACTTTCACCCAAAATATAATAGAGGGTTGAAAAAATAAAAAACCTCCTTTAGCCACATTTGCCCTCCAGGTCTGTCCCATTTTCTCCCTTCTCTTCACAGCCAAACTTCTTCAAAGAAGAGGACATGTCCTTCAAAGACTTGATATACTTTACTAAAACATGTCACTAAATCCAATGGGCATTTTCAGATCTCTTCTTGCTTGCTTGCTCTTCTTGATCTCTTCAGCAGCACTTGATGTGATCCATCACTCCTTTCTAGAAATATTCTCTTCCTTGGGCTTCTAGTTTTCATCCCACTTCTCTGGCATCTCCTTTTCTACCTTCTTCAGGGCTCAAAATGAAATATATGAAAGAGTTTTGCCAAGTTTAAAGTACTTAACTAGTGGAAATCATTAATATTATTTTTACTGTTCATTTAAAGACAGGAATGCATATAGAGCAAAGTTAGAAAGAAGACTGGAACATGAAATCAGTGGTTTTGTTGAAATGGTTGCATATGGTGTTGTCTTTTGTATTTTTCAAAAAAAATTTATTATTCTTATAACACTGTTTTATATTATATATTTTCATTGACGTATCATTAACCTACATTAGTAGTGTTTTTACAATAACACTTTTTTTTTTAAGAAAAAAATTACTCCATAGCACCTTCCAGGGAATCACATTATTCTTTTAGATGTTGACCTGATATTTTTCATCAAATATCAGAAAGAAGGATAATGCTGAAACACAAGGCAGACAGACATTACACGAAGCAAGCATGTTACATCATACCTGCAGCTGTTGCACGCCTAGATCAAAGACCAGGGACGGTATTACTTAGATTAAATGTTCTCTATACTTAAAACAATAACATTACCCAAGGCAAACAAAGTATACCAGTGAAGCAAAAGCTTTTGGAGGGTGTGGGCATGAACTGGACTTCTGGAAGGGACCCACCGGCTTGACAAGTTCTTGTTTATAAGCTCCAGGAGAGGCAACAGGAAGTAACTGCTAGTGGTGTGGGGAAAGGAACATCCTTTGGTTTTCATGAACATTTACAAGAAAAGAGGGAGAATCATGGTTCAGTTAATGTTGTGATAAAAGGTTGTCATGTGGGAACTCAGGTTTTGGTGTCAGACTTGGGTTCAAATCCTGCTTTCGCCAATCCTTGGCCTCTTTGGGTAAGTCAGTTAATGACGATAAATAACATTTATTGAACACTAATACTGTTTCAAGTGCTTTACATGTATTAATTAATTTAATCTTCACAACAATCCTATGAGGTAGTGTCGTGGATTGAATTGTGTCCCCTAAAAATGCGTGTATCAATTTGACTGGGCCATGGTTCCCGATGTTGTGTGGTTGTCCACCATTTTGTCATATGAAGTGATTTTCCTATGTGCTGTAAATCCTGCCTCTGATGTTAATGAGGGGGGATGGGTGACAGTTGTGTTGATGAGGCAGGACTCAGTCTAGGGGACTGGATTGTTTCTTGACCCGGTTTCTTTTGTGATATAAAAGAGAGAAGTGAGCAGAGAAACACGGGGACCTCAAACTATCAAGAAAGCAGTGCCAGGAGCAGAGCGCGTCCTTTGGACCTGGGGTTCCTGTGCAGAGAAGCTCCTAGTCCAGGGGAAGACTGAAGAGAAGGACCTTCCTCCAGAGCCAACAGAGAGAAAGCTTTCCCCTGGAGCTAACGTCCTGAATTTGGACTTCTAGCCTATTTTACTGTAAGGAAATAAATTTTTCTTTGTTAAGGCCATCCGCTTGTGGTATTTCTGTTAAAGCAGCACTAGATAACTAAGTCAGGTACGTACTATAATTTTCTCTATTTTATGGGTGAGGAAACTGAGGCATAGAGTAGTTAAGTCATTTGCCCAAGATCGTCACATATTTATTAAGTGGAGAAACTATTTTCAACAGAACCTGCCACGTATCTCATGTCCCCCAATAAATTCCATTTCCTGCTTAAATTAGCCAGAGCTGGTTTCTATTGCTTACAGTCAAAGAACACCATGCAATGCAATAACTTACAGGATTCTTTATCTACATTACCATAAATGTAAAAAAAACTTCGCGTCAAATAAATGGTTGATATTATTCATTTCTGATAGATAGAAGAAGACTATAAGGTAAAGAAAAGATGAATGTTATAGTAAGTTAGTTGAAACAGTATGAAACTGGTCACTGGAAACTGCTATATGAATTTTTTTAAACAATCTCAAAGAAAAGTTGTAAGTATGGTAGAAATCATGTTTTTTGTACTGAACCATTTGCAAGTAAGTTGCTGACTTAATACCTCATTACCCTCGTATACTTTATAGTGTATTTCCTACAATTGAGACAATCTTCTCTGCGATACTAACAAAATTAATAGGCTATATTACTATCATCTAATCCTCAGATCCCATTCAAGTTTTTCCAATTGTTCCAATAATATCTTTTATAATAAAAAGATCCTTATCTTCAGAGTTACCCATTGCATTCAGTTGTTCTCTCTTTGTTGTTATATGCCATCAAATCGATTCTGACTCATAGTGACCCTATATGACAGGGTGGAACTGCCCCATAAATTTTCCTAGGCTGTAATCTTTATGGGAGCAGATCGCCAGGTCTTTTCTCCCACAGAGCTGCTGGGTGGGTTCAAACTACCGGCGTTTAACCGTTGCACCACAGGACTCTTTTCGAGTATTATTATTGTTGCTGTTAGGTGCTGTTGAGTCGATTCTGACTCATAGTGACCCTACATACAACAGAATGAAACACTGCCTGGTCCTCCTGTGCCATCCTCACAATCATTGCTATGTTTGAGCCCATTGTTGCAGCCACTGTGTCAGTCCATCTTGTTGAGTATTACAGGCCAATAATTTTGTAGAATTTGGGTTTGTCTGATATTCCCTTGCGGTTAGTTTCAGGCTGTATGCATCTTTGTCAGGCTGTGATTTTAGCGTTATTGTTGTTAGGTGCCCTTGAGTCGATTCTAATTCTTAGTGACCCCAAATGACAGAGTAGAACTGCTTCATAGGGTTGTCTTGGCTGTAATCTTTACGGAAGCGAATTGCTAAGCCTTTTCTCCCATGGAGCCACTGGGTGGGTTCCAACTGTCAACCTCTCGGTTAGCAGTTGAGGGCTTAACCATTTGCGCTGCCTAGGCTCCTTGATTTTAGTGTAGAAAGTATTTTAAAAGCCAAGATCTGGGTGCTAGTCATCTTTGTTGCTGTTGGAACTAGCTGTTCCAGGCCCTCCCAATAGATCGAGCTAGGGAATGTATGCAGTGGTGTACTGATAAATGGGTTTAACAAGCTTCTGTGGAGGGGAGGTATAGGGAGTAGGGAAGGAGGCCATGATTTGTAGTGGTTGCTGATTTTCATGACGTAAATACCTCTGTCGTGGCTGATTTCAAGCTACCAATATGATGACACTGAACACAACATTGGAAAGAGATGTCTACTACTGACTCTCGTCAGCTGGCATGAGCCAGCTCCAGGGTGCCACTGAATGTGTGTATTCGCACAGACACATGCACACATACACACATGCATACTTATATCTGTATTTATATAAGGAACCCTGGTGATGCAGTTAAGCACTTGTCTGCTAACCAAAAGATCGGCAGTGTGAACCCGCCAGTCACTCTCAGGAGCAAGATGTGGCAGTCTGTTTCCATAAAGATTTACAGCCTTAGAAACACTATGGGACTGTTCTAGTCTGTCCTATAGGGTCACTATGAGTCAGAGTCGACTTGACAGCGTTGAGGGTTTTTTTTTTTTTTTGTATATACATATTGAAAACCATGAGTCCACAATTATACTTCCGATCCCAGTCCAATACCACAAATCCCAGCCTATCCTGATTGATAATTTCTGTATCCCTGGCTGGCACAAATGGTTAAGAACTGGACTACTAGCCAAATGGTCGGCAGTTTGAACCCACCCGGAGACACTTCGGCAGATAGGCCAAGCGATCTGTTTCCAAAAGGTCACAGCCTTAAAAACGCCTCTGGAGCAGTTCTACTCTGCACATATGGGGTTGCCATAAATTGGAGCCGACTTGACAGCAACTAACAACAATTACTCTGTTTTTTGTTATTCATCGTATTTGTCACTATTTGAAATTGCTTTATTTGTTTGTTTACTGGGTTATTTCCTGTCTCTAATTAGAATTTTCATGAGAGCAGAGAACTTGTCCATCTGGTTCATTGTTGTATTTCCAGTTCTTAGAACAGTATGTGTCACATATTATTAACAAATATTTGTTGAAAGAAGAATAATAATATTAGCTTATTTATTAGAAACTACCTTCGTGCCAGGCACTGAGCTAGAAGTATCATGTTTTTTTTCATTTCACGTTCACCAAGTGGGCACCAATATTATCCCATCCTTAAACGCTACAGTGCACAGCCTCTCACTCACTGTCTGTAAATGGTGTATGCAGCTTATGGAATACCTGCCATTCTATAGGTAAAGAAACGTTGGTTTAAGGAGAAGCATCTAAGAAAGTGTTAGATATTCTTCTTTCACAAGACCCTGTGTCTGGAGCCAAGGTATGATCCAGATGCAGCATTAAGTATATTTGAATCTCATCATGAGATAGTTGATCCCTATTGTTGAACCGTGATTTGGCAGCTGATCCAACTCCCACCCACAATCCCCTCTCTGTGGCTACCTTCTAGCTAGGGGTATCCCAGCAACATTGTTCTGGCCCATGAGCTGTAAGCAAGAGTCTTCCAGGTGGGACTTTTGGGAAATCTCTTCTCTGAGAAAAAGAACAGACTTGACTGGCACAGCCTTTTGTCCCTTTATCCTCCTGCCCTTTCTCCTGCCTGGAATGCTGGTATAATGCTTGAAGGTACAGCAGCTGTCTTGCAACCCTAAGGCAACATAGGTGACAAGGATAAGATAATCTCAAAGATGCAGGTATAACTGTTGTGTTTATGAATCTCACCATGGGGTGCCTGTCCTTGGAACTTGGTTTTGAAGAATGAGTAGGTGTTAGCCAGATGGTCTGGTGTCCTTAGCTTCCTCAGTCTTCACCATTTTAAGAAAAGGTTACCATGAAATCACTTAAGCCAAAAATGTAGGTGTTATTGTTCATTCCTCTTTCTTTTCTAATCCATCAGCAAGTCCTACTTCTAAAATAGATCC